TGAGTCGGTGAAACTCCGACGAAACAGTTTGTCACAGCCCCTCGTTTGTTGTCCTCTTCTCTCTCTCTGCCTACGGTTTACCGGGCAGTTCTGTTTGTGACGATATATACATCTATATATATATATTGTCACAAGAAGTATCAGAGCGCAAATGCGAACAAAAAAGAACGAAAAGGAAAAGAAAGAAAAACAAGAAAAAAATGAATTCAGTTTTTTATCTTCTTCCTATTAACTCCCCCCCCCCCTGTTCAGAACCTCAAGGCCGCCCTCGTGGATGCAGGTTGAGCGGCGGCTGCCCCCACCCCCGTGTGCCATATCGACCCGCTTGCACGGCCCCAACACACACAGGCCAAAAGGCAAAGAGGCAAAGAAAAGCGGAAGGGAACAGCCAAATACAACAGAACAGGGGGCAACAAAACACATACACATCCCAGATGACAAGTCCCACATGCAAGCACCGCCCCAACACACACAGGCCAAACGACGGGACAAGACCAACCAGGATGTCAAAACATTCTTGTCTGCAAAGAAATAAAAAAAGTCCCAGATACATATCTATACACATGTGTATGTATGTATGTATCGTCAAACAGAGCTGCCTACGGTGAACCGTAGGGGCAGAGAGGGAGGATGAAGAAGACAACAAACCAAACGAGGGGGCTGTCACAAACTGTTTCGGCGGAGTTTCACCTAGTACACCTATTCATCAGGAGGAGGCTGAACCCTCTTCCACAGTCTGCAGAATCCCCTCTCTCTAACTGATTACACTGTAAGTGATAATAATCCACCTTAACCCGGGCTGTGGTAGAGCATCAACGACTGCCCGACAATGTATATATCGTCAAACAGGGCTGCCTGCGGTAAATCGTAAGGGCAGAGAGGGAGGGAGAAGAGGAAAGAGGACAACAAAAGAGGGGCTGTGACAAACTGTTCCGTCGGAGTTTCGCCGACTCGTCAGGAGGGTGAATATGTATATATCATATATGTGTATATGTCATAAAAGAATGCACTGATTTTCTGATATTACAGTGAATACAAATTTACGGCAAGTTTTAAAGGCGAACTTGAATTGAAAGAGGAAGGGAAAAAAAACCGCTGATGAAGTTCATGAATGAGTCGTTAAAAATAAATTATGTATGCTAAAAGGGCCTTTACCCGATATAGGCCTCAGGCCTTGTAAAAATAAAGCAGCACGGGCCTTGAAAA